CCCAGCTACTTGGGAGGCTGAGGCAGGAGACTCGCTTGAGCCCAGGAGTTGGAGGTTGCTGTGAGCTGTGATGCCACAGCACTCTACACAGGGGGACAGCTTGAGACTATCTCAAAAAATAAATAAAAAGCTTTAAGCTATAATATTGAAAAATAACTAGATAAGCTGCAGACAAAATACTTTGGTGTTTTTCCATTGCTGGCTAGGCATGGTAACTCAGGTCTGAAATCTGACCACTTTGGGAGGCTGAGGCAGGAGGATCGCTGCAGGCCAAGAATGCAGACCAGCCTGAGCAAGACCCAGTCTCTGGAAAAAAATAGAAAAATAAGCTGAGCATGATGGTCTGTGTCTGCAGTCCCAGCTACTCAGGAGGCGAAGGCTGAGGCGGGAGGATTGCTTGAACTTAGGAGTATCTGGCTGTGAACAGATCCAAACACTAACAAGGAAGCATGAAGATTCTTTTCTGAATTTCCTGATTTGTGAGATTTGTTCTTTACCCTCCTCCATAAATAAAACATAGCAATAAATAGGCTGGGTGCAATGGCGCAAACCTGTAATCCAAGCAGTTGGGTAGATTGCCTGAGCTCACAGGTTCAAAAACAGCCTGAGCCAGAGCAAGACCTTGTCTCTAAAAATAGCCAGGCATTGTGGCAGGTGCCTGTAGCCCCAGCTACTTCGGAGGCTGAGGCAAGGGAATCACTTGAGCCCACGAATTGGAGGTTACTGTGAGCTATGACGCCACAGCACTCTACCAAGAGTGACAAAGTGAGACTGTCTCCAAAAGAAAAAAAAAGCAATAAATAAGCAAAGTAGAGGGAAAAACAAAAGAATAACTCATTGCAAAACACTTCACATGTGTGAGATCATTGTAGGGCCACAATGTGCCCTGAAGGGATCACGGCTTGTATTATATGATTCCAGAAACAATGAGCTATAAATCTGGCTCTGTTTCCTTAATGAATCTTTATTTCACCAATTACTTATACTTAAAAAAATTTTTTCATTAAAAACATTGATTAAAAATTCCTGCCCAGATGATTTATAAAGCTCGCTTCCTCCTTCATTCCCTTTTATAACAGCTACTTGCATGTTCCTTATCTGGCCAGGGTTTTTTTTTTCTTTCCAAAAGGACCATTGGCAAAGTTGTGAGGCAGTTGTACTACTGACTTTAGACTTGGCTGAAGGGTATTCACATGGAAAAAATCCAAAGAGTCTGTTCCAGCAGCCTTTTATTTTCCTCAAAGTAGCATTTCCTTTAGTCTCATTGCATTGGCAATAAAGTGCTCATTTTTATCCACTTGTAAATAAGGGATAAAGACACAGACTGTTGGCTGGTGCCACAAGCCTCTGGTGCTCTCTTAACCTTGCACAAGGTAGGACTTTCCCCTTCTGTAAATAAAGTCCTTCATGAAGAGCAATTCCCAGACTTGGAACCAGAAGATGGGTTAAGCCCAAGCTCTGCTATACAACCTTGAAAAAGTCACCCTACCCCAGTGGTTGTCAACCTTCCTAATGCCTCCTAATGCTGCGACCCTTTAATACAGTTCCTCATGTTGTGGTGACCCTCAACCATAAAATTATTTTCGTTGCTACTTCAGAACTATAATTTTGCTACTATTATGAATTATAATGTAAATATCTGATATGCAGGATGTGTCTTCATTGTTACAAAGGAGTCGTGACCCACAGGTTGAGAACTGCTGCTCTACCCTTTCAGGTTTTAGGTTCTCTATCCATAAGGGAATATAATAATGCCTGCCAAATTGTTCTCAGTGAGGAACCTAAGAATAACAACTACAACTTATACAAGGCTCTGAAATTTACAAAACACTACAAAATAGAATATATGATTTATTACTGATCAAAAGTATTTGCTTCATTGACCTCAGTGAAGAACCTACTATGTGCTTTACCAAGTACTGCAAGGAGAATCCTTGACTCACAAATGTGCTATTTTTGGCTTCCAGACATACACTCCCATCTCAGAGTTGAGTCTAAACTTTTGGCATAATTTCCAAAGTAAAAGAAAAACAAACTGGAAGCATCATAATCTCATTCAAAAATGAACATTTAGGTTGGAAATTATATCAGAACTTTACCAGGAACTGTGCTAGGGAACAGGAAACAAAGAAAAATAGCATACATAGCTTCTCGGCCTTTTGGCTAAGATCAAGTATAGTGCCGAGCGAAGAAAAATAGCATAGAACCTTCTCTCAAAAATAACATGCAAGGGAAAAAAATCATCAGAGAAGAATGTTGTTTATAAAAATGTACCATGTAGGCTTGGCACCTGTGGCTCAAGTGGCTAAGGCGCCAGCCACATACACCTAAGGTGGCGGGTTCTAATCCAGCCTGGGCCCATCAAACAATGACGGCTGCAACCAAAAAAATAGCTGGGCATTGTGGCGGGCGCCTGTGGTCCCAGCTACTTGGGAGGTGGAGGCAGGAGACTCGCTTGAGTCCAGAAGTTGGAGATTGCTGTGAGCTGTGATGCCACAGCACTCTACCCAGGGGGATAGCTTGAGGCTCTGTCTCAAAAAAAAAAAATGTACCATGTAATAACAGTACGGCTACAGTGTGAATCCATGCCCATTAAGGCACAGAGCTTTCCTTCTCCCATAGATAGTACTGTGAAGAGGAACAATTTGTACACATAACCAATTCATGTTAGTTCTACTGTGGGCCCGGCACTGTATCAGGAAGTTTAGCACAATTTAAAGAACATAGTTCTTTCATCAGAAAGAACAAAATATACCATTTAGAGAAAAGGAAAGAATTTAGGGATAGCCCAGAGAGCTAAAATTAAATCAAAATGATAAAACAGTAGAGATGTCCCATGAGAACAGACTTAAATCTTCAGTTGGAAACACAAGAACTGAGAAGTTTATGATCAAGGTTTTATAAGGTACACAAAATCTGTTAACCAATTATTAGAATACCAGAATAACTCCTTGAACTTATAATATAAATTTAAAACTATAAAAAAGTATTACATTCACACACTGTATAATGGCATACAATGAACTATATATACAACAGTAGTCCCGTAAGATAATACAATATTTTTTACATAACTTTTCTATTAGGATATATTAAAATACATAAATACTTAGCATCATGTTCCAACCACCCCTAGTATTTAGTACAGTAACTAACATACAGTACAGATTTTGTAGCCTAACAGCAAAAGAATACACCTTCTAGGTTTGTGTAAATACACTCTATGATGTTCTCATAACAAAACTGCCTAAAACCACGTCCCCATCATTTAGTGATGAATGACTGTACCTTTATAGAGCACATAGTAAACATATGAAGTGCATTACACTAAAAGGAGTGTCAGGCTCAGTGCCCGTAGCACAGTGGTTACAGTGCCAGCTATATACACCAAGGCTGGTGGGTTCGAACCCAGCCCAGGCCAGCTGAACAACAATGACAACTGCAACAAAAAATAGCTGGGCCTTGTGGTGGGCGCCTGTGGTCCCAGCTACCTGGGATGCTGAGGCTAGAGAATTGCTTAAGCCCAGGAGTTTGAGATTGCTGTGAGCTATGACGCCACAGCACTCTACCGAGGGCAACATGGTGAGATTCTGTCTCAAAAAAATAAATAGGCTCAGTGCCTATAGCACAGTGGTTACAGCACCAGCTACATACAGCCATGCTGGAGGGTTCCAACCCAGCCTGGGCCAGCTAAACAACAAAGACTCAAAACTAAATAAATAAATAAATGGAGTGTTAGGAAACAATGAATTAAAAACAAGTAAGTTCTAGATAAATTCATAAAAGATATACTACATGTAAGAGCTTTTAAGAAACATTAAGACCTTTTAATCTCGGGTTTGTCTGAGATTAAAGACAGAATTCGATTAGCCCCAGGGGTTCACGCCTGTAACCTCAGTACTTTGGGAGGCTGAAGCAAGAAGATTGCTTGAGATCAGGAGATCAAGAACAGCTTGAGCAAGATAGTAAGGTCTTTGCCTCAACCAAAAAATGTTTTCTTAATTAGCCAAGCATGCTGGTGTGCACCTATAGTCCCAGTTACTCTGGCTTAATCCCTTGAGCCTAGGAGTTGAAGTGACCACTGCACTCCAACCTGGGCAACAGAGCAAGACCCTGCCTCTAAAAGTTAAAAAGAAAAAAAGACAGAAATACATGAACTATAGGACTGACCCTGCCAACTAATACCTATATTCTTGTTAAGCCTGTTAAAACTAAAGAGGCACTGATTACTCTTTATGTAGCATGATTGTCCGTTCTTATTTTGGATGGTACTATTTATACATTATACATAGAATATTGTGATTTATACGGCTTATCTTGTAGTGCCCAGTTACAAACTAATATAGTATGCTGCCATTATAGAGAAAACCATTTTCAAAACATAACCTCTTTTCCAAAGGTCATCTGGAAAAAGTTGACTCCACAAAAACAGAAAAACTAATAAGAAATCTGACCCAGAACCATACCATAACAGCACAATGAAAGTTAAAATTGACCAAACTGGATTTCACCTTCAATATATTCATTAATCTTCTGGGATTATGTTAATGTTAGAAGTTTCTCACTTCAGGAAGCACAGAAATTTGATGTCTAAGGCAGTACACACTTTACAGTGTCTTATTAAAAATAGACTGCTATCAGAATATCACCCCTAATCCACAAAAGAATCTACCAAGAGATTTCAATAACAAGAAGTGTATTGTAAGCATTTCTGTCCATCAACAAATCTAACAAATTGATTAAAATGCCAACGGGACAAGGGTGAAACCAAATACAGTGCAAAGACTGAAATGGACTCACGGCAGTGTTTCTCGTCGCTTTCATCTGAGCAGTCTGTGACGTGGTCGCACCTGTATTCACTTGGGATGCACTCACCATTGGAGCACCTCATTTGATTACTCGAGCATGTGGTCTCAGCTATGACGGGGAAAAAAATATTACTTAGTTTGTAATTACTGCCAGACACAGATTAATATACTGACACATGAGAAAGCATAAAGCTCATGGAAATACAAGGTGAAGTACCCAGCTGCCATAAGCAATGTATAATTTATGTGTAGTCAAAATGTCCACAGAATAGCATCACAGGACTGTCAGTAGACAACTACATTATCAACATCTGTGAAGAATAAAACCTAGATTGAAAAGTTGCAGACGAAAGAAATAAAAATTTTGCCCTAACAGGTATTAACCAAGGGTCAGTAAGGTTCCCCTCATTGAAATCTTTGTATAAAAAAGAAGAAAAGAGGGCAGCACCTGTGGCTCAGTGAGTAGGGCACCGGCCCCATATACCGAGTGTGGTGGGTTCAAACCCAGCCGTGGCCAAACTGCAACAAAAAAATAGCTGGGTGTTGTGGCGGGCACCTGTAGTCCCAGCTACTCAGGAGGCTGAGGCAAGAGAATCACCTTAAGCCCAGAAGGTGCAGTTTGCTGTGAGCTGTGATGCCACAGCTCTCTACCGAGAACAAGAAAGTAAGACTCTGTCTCTAAAAAGAAAAAAAAGAAGAAGAAGAAGAAAATACACCAAAGAGTTAAGAGCTAAGTGGTGGGAATATAAGTCATTTAATTTTTTTCTGTGTGGTTTCCTCTGTTATATAAACTGTCTATGACTCGGCACACATAGCACAATGGTTATGGTGCCGGCCACATACAATAAGGCTGGTGGGTTCAAACCCAGCCTGGGCCTGCTAAACAACAATGACAATTGCAACCAGACATTGTGGTGGGCACCTGTAGTCCCAGCTACTTGGGAGGCCGAGGCAAGAGAATCACTTAAGCCTAACAGTTTGAGGTTGCAAATTGACAATGTGTCAATTTTATAAACAGAAAAAAAAATTTAAGCTAGCTTGATTTTATCCAATGTTGATTAGTATGGGGAAAGCAAGGCACCAGCAGTTTGTCAAATTGGCCTTTGAATAAAATAAAATAAATTGGCCAGGAGCAGTGTCTCAGGCCTGTAATCCTAGCACTCTGGGAGGCCAAGGCAGGTGGATCGCTTTAGCTCAGGAATTGGAGACCAGCCTGAGCAAGAGTGAGACCCATCTCTACCAAAAATAAAAAACTGACAGTATGATCACTTGAGCCCTAGAATTTGAGGTTGCTGTGAGCTATGATGTCACAGCACTCTACTGAGGGCGATGAACTGAGACTCTATCTCAAAAAATATATATATAAATAATCCTCTAATACAGCCATTGTCAATCTATGGGTCGTGACCCCTTTGGGAGTCGAACAACCCTTTCTCAGGGGTCGGTTAAATACATCCTGCATATCACATATTTACATTACGATTCATAACAATAGCAAAATTACAGTTATGAAGTAGCAACAAAAATAATTTTATGATTGGAGGTCACCACAACATAAGGAAGTGTATTAAAGGGTCGGGGCATTAGGAAAGTTGAGAACCACTGCTCTAATAGAAGAAAAAAATCTCCTTAAAAAAAATTTCCTCTAATTGTTTTTTTTTTTTTTTTTTTTGAGCTTGAATCTCTTCATCAAGCTCTGTAGAGTGTTACGGCATCATAGCTCACAGCAACCTCAAACTCTTGGGCTCAAGTGTTTTTTAGCCTTCCAAGTAGCTGGGAC